TGGGTTATCAATTTATTTTTTATCCAGTATTACTCAATTCAGTCTTGCTGCTGGTGATTGCAATCATTTTTAATCGTATGTTTGGAAAGCAATATCCACAGGTTGCACAGCTCAATACACGTTCTAAAGATCCAACGCCGACACAGAAAGTCACGATTCAACCGCAAGATATTCAAGATGTGTTAGAACAACAGACACAGCTTTTAGATATTAGTGAATATGATTTACAAAAAATCATTTTAGAAGCACAAGCAAAGGCCAACGCAAGAGCAGTACATCAATACCTTTGCCAAGATATTATGAGCAAGGATGTGCTGAGCTTGGATGAGCAAGATGATATTCACCAAGCTTTAGATAAGTTTAAACATGTGAATTTGATGAGTTTGCCCGTGCTCAACGCGGATCAGGAATTGGTTGGCACATTGGCATTGTATGAAATTGTAGAATGGTTTAAACGCGCTGCCGATGCTCGGGCCCCTTGGGAACATTTGGTCAAACAAATTATGAATCGACAAGTGGTGACTGTACAGCCGACACAACCGATTCAAGACTTGGTGCCTTATTTCGTTGAACGCTCTTTTAATTATATCCCTGTGGTTGATCATCAAAAAATGGTCGGGATTATTAGTCGCGCAGATATGATTGCAGCATTACAGCAACAACTCAATAATTCACAATGATACTGTTTAAAAATAAAACTGTTTAAAAATGATGCGGTATAAAAAAAGCTACAGCAGTTTGGGGGAACTGTTGTAGCTGAAAAGGGTCATATCTTTAAATCGAAGTCAATTAATGGGTTTTCTCTTCATAAATGGTTCGTACAGGGCGTTCATAGCTTTGCGGTTCATTTAGCTGCAATTTTTGTTTTGGCATAATTAACCAAAGCACTAAATACACCAGAATACCTGGAAAAGCTGCGCTCAAACATGAAACAATTACGAAAATAATGCGTAGTAATGTGACATTCCAACCAAAACGTTCAGCAATACCGCCCATTACACCGGCGATCATATTATGTCGGCTTGAACGATATAAACCAGAATTGGCCATTTAAATCTCCTTAAAGTTATTCATCATCATTCATGATTAAAAAAATTAAAAATGAATTTATATAAGTAAATAGTGGCGTTTCTGTTTGATTCTTCAAGTGAATCACCGATTAAAATTGTTAAGACTGTGTAACAACACCACTTAAATCATTAAAAATAATGTAAAAAGTGTCCAAACTTATAGGGAGATGATTGAGACAAATATGTTTTTTATACTTTTGTAAAAAATACACCGTTAAGATTTCGAGAAACGGTACAACACAATAAGATATACATATACACATTCATTTTTGATGTGTCTGGCACGGTGTAATTGGGTTATTTGGATTTATGTATTTAACTTTTCATAAAGTAATTTTTTTTCGAATTTTAGGCATCAGTATTTGTACAGTACTGAGTGCTTGCGATTCCTCAAAATCAAATGATAAACAACAAGGTGCATCTGACACACAAAATTCATCCAGTGAGCTTGCTTTGCAGCCAACGCCACAACGTGCCAATGCAAGTGAAGGTAAAAAACTGACCGATCTTGCGGGTCAAGCCACCTTACCTGCAATGGCAGAAATGAAAGGGCAAGACCAGCAAAGCGACGTAGTTTCCACAAAAGCTGAGGCATTTGTAGGACGTTATCATGTTCAAATGAGTTGTGAAGATCCTTTTGCCAAGTGTGAAAAAGGCAGTGCAGAGTTTATTATTAACTTACTCCCAGACGGTACCGCACATCGTACCTTTGTATATATGGGGAAAATGACCTATGAAAATAATGATATAAAACCGAACCGTGGTTATCAAAAAAATACTTGGGTCTATGACGAAGTAAATCATGAAATTGTGATTAACCGAATTGAAGGTATTCAGTTCTATTACAAAGTGGATGCACAAAACGACTTGGTGATGGATATTGATAAAATCGTTAATGGAACTGAAGAAAATCGACTCTATTTTAGTCAACACCATACTGCACCAACAAAAGCTTATGTGTTAAAGAAATTTGATAATTAAAAAGCGAAACAATCGAATAAGCGCATTTGAATAAGAACGCTGTTTTGATCAAGACATATGTTGATTTAAACAATCTGGTGGGGCTTTAGGGTGTAACCCACCAGAATGACACATTTAAAATTTAAAGTTTTGAAATAAATGATCATCTCAGAAAAGCATTTTTTAAATTGAACAAATCTTAGAAAATCAGTTAGCAGTTAAACATTGTGTATCCTCTAAAAATGCAATGTTAAAACGCTTTGGTTAAACTAAAAATTGCACCGTTTGTGACTGTACGTTTTTCACTTTTAGAGAGCTGATCGGTATTCAAGTTGGTACCGACTGCAGATAACTCTGCAGTTAAGCCTTCAAGTGTTTTAAATTGATAATTCACCCCAAGCTTCCAATCGACATAATTGTCAGCATTGAGATCAATCAATGCACCTTTATCTTGGATGATGGAATAACCAATACTTGAAGTTAGACCAAAACCTGTTTCAGCCAATGGTACTGAATAGCCTAAGGTGAAGTTCCATGCATTACCTGCAAATCCAATATAGTCATCACTATAATTAATATTGGTGAGGAGACTATCTTTAACCAAAAATACGTTATCAAGGGTTAAACGTGCAGAAAACTCATGCCATGCCCAATCCGACCAACCCGGGTAGCTAAATCGGTTATAGCTTAAATCTAGTGTTGGCTTAACTTTTTCAGGCCAATTTAATGCCGTGTTATAGCCAATATATGAGGTAAACTCAAAATGTGGTGATGTTGAACCACCAAAGTCCGTATTGGCAGCAAAGATTCCGCCGTATAAACCAGAATCATGTGACAGTACAAAGGTCCCTTGTAGCGCAGGATCATTACGAGATTGGGAGAGTCCACGGAAACGGTAGTCCGTTGTCAGTGCAGCAGAACCACTTAAGCTAAGACCTGATGAATGTCCCGTTTCTGTGGCCATAGCAGAATGAGTCGCCATTGTTGTCAGCATTACCGATAAAATTACTGGTTTAATCATATTGATTTCCTTTTCGTAAAAATTTGGATTATTCCAAAATCCTTTTTATGTCGATCAACGACGCATTTTTGTTTTTGTTATCTTAAGTACTGATGTTATAAAGAGATAATAGAATATTCAGAACACATGCCTCAAAAAATCTGAATCGCTTGGGTATAACGATGACTTTTATCCAATGGCGTTAAATTTTTTTAATGATTATTTATGTAATTATTTTTTAATAAAAAATTCTTTTGAACGATAAATTACTTTTTTTAACCCTAGATCAATGATCTGCTTTTCACCCATCGTTTTTATTCAATTCAAGTGGTACCCAAGCTGGTGTATAGGTCGATATTGAATATCGAACAAATACAGGCCTGAGATAATTTTTCTTTAATTTGTTCGTGATTATTCTGGCCTCAATATTTTCAACATATTAAATGGTCTTAATTTGAAATTTTAAGATGATTTCGCAAATGATTTTGATCTCTTTGCGATGGAGTAACTACGCTATTCAGTCCTTTTTAGCCTTACTTTAAAAAAACTAAAGGCTTGATACTGAATATAAAAATTTAAGCCGATCGTCAGATTGGTTATAACTTTTTTATTTATGGAATGGATTCCTTATGTCTATCACAACTATGGAAAGTAGTACGATTCAGGCAATTCCTGAAAATCAACGTCACGGTAAAGCACGCGATCTATTTACGATCTGGTTTGGCTCGAACATTATGTTGTTGACTATGTTTACGGGCTCATTGGCAGTTACAGTTTTTAATCTGAGTTTCTTTTCTGCCTTAATGGCATTGGTTTTAGGAAATCTTGTTGGTGCGATTTTTGTCGCACTTCATTCTGCGCAAGGCCCACAACTTGCAGTGCCGCAAATGATTCAGACACGAGGGCAATTTGGTTTCTATGGGGCTTTACTTGTTGTTGGTGTCGTAGTGATTATGTACTTGGGCTTCTATGCATCCAATCTGGTGGTTGGAGGCGAAGCACTACATACAATTTATCAGCCGATTTCTAAGGTACAAGGCATCACGATTATTGCGATTGGGAGTCTGATTGCAGTCATTTTTGGTTATAAACTCATTCATAAATACACCCAAATCCTTGCGGTACTTTCAGGTTTAATGCTGCTTGCTGCTTTTATTCGTGTATTTAGTTCGCAATACTTCCCCCAAGATTTCTTTCAGCTTGGAACGTTTTCAAGCATTGGTTTTATGGGAACCTTATCCATTGCCGCATTATGGCAGTTGGCTTATGCCCCGTATGTATCAGATTATTCCCGCTATTTGCCTAAAGCGACTGGGGCAAAAACTGCATTTTGGGCAAGCTATTGGGGCTGTTCACTCGGCTCACTGATTTCAATGATCTTGGGCTTGACTGTTGCTCGTGCCTATAGTGGTGACTTTATTCAAGGCTTAATTCATTTAACCGGTTCAGGTTTATTCAGTACCGCTTTGATTATCGTCTTTTCTCTCGGGATTGCTGCCACAAACTCAATGAATTTGTACTGTGGTACTTTATCGAGCATCACTATTCTACAAACGATTTTTCACCGTTGGTCACCGCGAGTGCTTGCCAGAACTATAGTTGCATTAAGCTTATTTAGTGTGGCGATGTTCTTATCTGTTTCAAGTTCGGACAGTTTTGTCGAGAGTTATGTCAATTTTATTCTCTTGCTCATGTGTGTACTGATTCCGTGGACAGCCATCAACCTCATCGATTATTACTTTATCCATCATACTGAATATGATGTGCCATCTTTCTTTAAACCGGATGGTGGGATTTATGGTTACTTCAATTGGCCTGCATTAATCTGTTATGTGATTGGGATTTTGATTCAGATTCCATTTTTATCTACACCGCTGTATGTTGGTCCGCTTGCTAAATTATTGGGTGAAGTGGATATCTCATGGGCGGTTGGTTTACTGGTGGTTAGCCCATTGTATTATGTTGTGGCAATGTTATATAAACGCACATTACCTGAAATAGACAATCAACAATTACAGCAACATCGTTATGATTATGTCATCGTTGGCGCGGGTTCGGCGGGGAGTGTGATTGCTAATCGACTAAGTGAAGACCCAAATACCCGTGTCTGTTTGATTGAAGCAGGTGCTGCTGATAATTCGCCACGTATTCAGATTCCAGCAGGAACGATCACGTTATATAAGAGTAAAAAATACAGCTGGAATTTCTTTTCTACCCCACAGAAACGTTTGAATAATCGTCAAATCCATGCCCCACGTGGCAAAATGGTCGGCGGTTCAAGTTCAATGAACAGTATGATTTATATTCGCGGAAATGCCTCTGATTATGATAATTGGGAAGCGAAAGGTTGTGCTGGATGGGGCTGGAAAGAGGTTTTACCCTTCTTTAAACGCTCTGAAAAAAATGTCATTCAGCAAGACTTGGCTTTTCATGGTGTTGAGGGCGAGTTATTTGTTGATCATCCGAAAGATCCGAACCCATTATCTAAACTCTTTATCCAAGCTGCCGCTTTACTCAATCTAAAAGAAAATCAAGATTTTAATGCTGCATCAAGTGAAGGTGTGGGGATATATGATGTGACTCAACGTGATGGTCAGCGTCTATCCAGCTTTAAAGCATTCGTTCAGCCAATATTGACACGTTCAAACCTTACAGTGGTGACTGAATGCGAGGTTGAGCGTATTCATCATAGTGAGGGGCAAGTACACTCGATTCATGTGCAGCGACAAGGACAAAATTTTGATATCAGGATCAATAAAGAGTTAATCCTCTCTGCTGGTGCTTTTGTTTCGCCGTTATTATTGATGAAATCTGGTATTGGTCCGAAATCTGAGCTGGAACAGGCCGGTATTGAATGTAAGGTTGATTTACCTGGGGTGGGTAAAAACTTGCAAGAGCATATTGATGGTTTGGTGACGGTTAGAACAAATAGTTCAAAAACACTGGGTTTTTCTGTTGGGGCTTTGGCATCTATACTGCCCGCACCATTCCAGTATGCACTCAAAAGAAAAGGCTGGTTGACCACCAACTATGTAGAAGCAGGAGGCTTTGCAAAAACACCACTGGCAACAGATTTACCAGATGTGCAATTCCACTTTGTTCCGGGGTATCGGAGTCATCGTGGTCGCTTGTTTGAATGGGGACATGGCTATGCAATCCACACCTGTGTTTTAAGACCCAAGAGCATTGGTGAAATACGTGTGAATGCCCAAAAGCAGATCGAGATTGATTATAACTTCCTTGAAAAAGAACACGATATGCACGTGCTGATCGAAGGAATTAAACTGGCACAGCGTATTTTAAAGCAAGATGTATTTAAGGCGTTCAATGGTCAAGAAATCTTACCCGGACCTGATGTTAAAACCGATGCAGATTATCAAGCTTATGTTCGTGAATATGCTGCAACCGTATTTCATCCCGTGGGAACATGTAAGATGGGGATTGATGCAATGAGTGTGGTCGATCCAAAGCTTAAGGTCGTTGGTTTTAATAATCTGCGTATCGCTGATGCATCCATTATGCCTGATCTTGTTTCAGGCAATACCAATGCGCCATGTATTATGATTGGCGAACGTGCCGCAGATTTTATCCTTCAACAGCAATAATCCACTGGGTAAATTTCCGTAGATTGTTTTAATTGAATTATCATACGCATAATTAAACCGTGCTCAATCTTGGTTATTGGGCACGGTTTAATGTTGTTTGGGAGGGAAAATATTATGACTCGTCAAGCAGGGGAGTATTATCTTACTAGCGATGATTTGGTATTTACTCGTTCAATAAGAAGAATCAAAGTTTTTTAGCTATTCAGTTTGGTCGTGTCATCTGATTGCGATTGTTGGCTTGGTTGTTTGAGTTAAAACCGTTAACTAAGATCTCAGCCGATATTTGAGTATAGATGCTTCGTTGTTATTGAATGATAAAGCAATCCATTTGATTAGAACGTGCAGTTATCAGAAAAATAATTCAACTGAGCTTATTTTAAGGGAGATAAATGACTTAAAAATCTGGTGGGTTGTGTGGGGTTCGAACCCACGACCAATAGATTAAGAGTCTACTGCTCTACCAACTGAGCTAACAACCCTGAACTTGTTTAAAACATGATTAAACCAGAACAAAAGATGAAGCAAAATTTCGAGAATGGCGAAGCATCTAATAAAGATGTTTGGTCTTGGTCGGAACGTTTGCAGGTTTCGTTTCTATTGTAGTACTTTAGCCGTACAGAAAGAAGCCTTAAGAAAGAATGGTGGGTCGTCCGCGATTCGAACGCGGGACCAACGGATTAAAAGTCCGCTGCTCTACCAGCTGAGCTAACGACCCTGAGCGAGATGTGTAAAGCACGTTGCTTTACCCGATATCAGTGAAAATCGAGAATTTTCTATCGGTATCTATTTACAGGTTGAAACATGAAGATGGTGGGTCGTCCGCGATTCGAACGCGGGACCAACGGATTAAAAGTCCGCTGCTCTACCAGCTGAGCTAACGACCCTGAGCAAGGATGTATAAAGCGATGCTTTACACGATATTTGTGAAAATTGAGAATTTTCTATCGCTATCCATTTACAGGTCAAAACAATTAAGTGGTGGGTCGTCCGCGATTCGAACGCGGGACCAACGGATTAAAAGTCCGCTGCTCTACCAGCTGAGCTAACGACCCTGAACCTTCATCCAAGCTAGGCTTGAATGTGTAGTGCAAGAAAACTAAAAAGTTTTTAAACACCACTTTGTTTTGATGGAGCGTATTTTAGCAAGATATTGATAGAGCGCAAGTAAAAATTAAGAAAGTTTGCAACGTTCGGTTATAAATAACACAAAATGGACTAAAAAAGCCCTGAAATCAGGGCTTTTAGCTTTAGAAGCGGTATTTATAAGCTTCAATATTGGCAAAAACTTCCGCAGTGACATCGCAATAGGCATTGGCACTTGGCAGTAAAACCAATAAACGATCAGAGGTTTTTTCAGGATTAAAGGCTTGTTCCTTTAATTTATTTTTCTGATATTTAAATGTACCCGTCGTTTCTACAATTTGTTGGATACGTAAAAATACCGGAACAGCATAGGCTGGCAAGTTCTTTTTAAACTCGACTGCAAGTTGGCTTAGATCTTGTTCAGTCAGTTCTTCCCCATCATGCAAAGTAATGGCAGCCATACCTGCTCGACCATTGGTATTTGGAATTTCAACGCCGTAAACCACAGCTTCTGTGATTTTAGGGTATTCACTACAAATATTTTCAACTTCAGTTGTTGAAACATTTTCACCTTTCCAGCGGAAAGTATCACCAAGGCGATCGACAAATTGCGCGTGTCGGAAACCAATATCACGAACCAAGTCGCCAGTAATAAAGTAAGAATCGCCTTTTTTAAAGACATCTTTCATGATCACTGACTTGTTCTTTTCCGGGTCTGTATAGCCATCAAAAGGGGAACGCTTGGTGATTTTACCAATCAATAAGCCCACTTCACCTTTTTTGACCTTTTGACATGCACCATGACTGTCACGGATTGCTTCATTTTTTTCTTTATCGAACTGGACGATGGCATAAGGTGTAGGTGAGAAGCCAACAGTATTGTTAAAATTAAAAACATTACTGAAGCCTACATTTCCTTCACTAGAGGCATAAAGTTCTAAAATTTCTTCGATACCAAAGCGTTCTTTAAACTTGCCCCAAATATTTGGACGCATACCATTACCGATCATTTTGGTGACACGGTGCGTATGATCAAGTTCTGAAGCAGGTGCATCCATAAGGTAGCGGCAAAGTTCACCGACATAACCAATGGCTGACGCATTAAACTTTTTGACATCAGACCAGAATGCAGAGGTAGAGAATTTACGACGGATTGCCAAGGCTGAACCACCTGCAATAGCACCACACCAGCACACCACCATACCTGTTGCATGGTAAAGCGGTAAAGTGCAGTACATCACATCATCTTCACCTAAGTTTAAGACATGACCATATGTTCCATATGCCAAGGTCCAACGACTGTTGGTAAAGACCACAGCTTTAGGTAAACCCGTTGTGCCAGAGGTATAGATATAAAACAAGCCATCTTTCCCTTTGACACTTTGTGTGGTCGAAGGATTGAATTTTGGAAATTGTTGAATTTTTTCAGCGAGATTGATAAAGCCTTGAGGTGCTGTACCCGAGTCTTGCGTTGTATTTTGATCTGCAAACCAATGGATGCGGTCTTGAGCAATGTTTAAGTCTTGACGAATCTCATCTACAGCAACACGACATTCTTCACCGACGATCACCGCAACAGGATTGACCAAATTGATACTATGCGTCAGGACTTTACCTGTTTGTGAGGTATTGACTAAAGCTGTTGTTACGCCAATTTTTGCCAGTGCAATCACGGTCGCAATCAGCTCAGGACGATTTTCGATCATCACGGTGATCGCATCGCCTTTTTTTATGCCAATAGAAAGATAAAAGTGTGCAATTTGATTGGCCCAGTTATTCAGTTCTTTATAACTATAGCGTTGATCTTCAAATAATAACGCATCACCATAAGGATTGCGTTTTACAGCACGTTCAAAAGCAAGACCTAGCCCAGCAGGCGTATTGGGTGTTCTGATATAAGCTTGTTTAAGTCCAGTCAGGATGTTGGGAAGCTTATTGATGAGCTGTGGTAAGCGCTCTGCGACATCAGTAAATCCGATGAGATCGGCCTGTGTTGTTTGACTCATATCAATCCTATTTATTTTTCGTAATCCAATACAATTTTTAGAGTGTCATTGACTCACATTACATTTGTCTTTTTAATCGTATAAGACTAGTGCAATCAACCTAATCTGACAAATGTCCTGATAATCTCTTCAAAATAGCAAAAAAACCTAGCCATCGAAATGACTAGGTTCTCTTTAATCGCTACATTTTAAGCAAATTTTTAAAAATTACTCATCCGCTGGCGGTGTTGCTTTTTTTGGCGGGCGGCCACGAGGGCGACGAGGGCGGGCAGGTTTTTCATCTGTTGCCACATTGTCTGCCTTTTGTGCATCTTCATCTACACCAGCTTCAGCAGTCGTATCTAAAGCAAGCGATTGTTGTGGCTTTTTCGCCTTTTCAGTTGCAACAACTGCTTTCTCAACTGACTTAGCAGGAGCTGCTTTAACCACTTGAACTTCCGCAGGCGCTGTTTCAACTGCCGTTTCTACAGGTGTTTCAGCTTGCACTTCTTCTGCCTGAGTAACCACAGGTGCGGCTTCAACTGGACTTGCTTGAATCTCAGTTTTCACTTCTTCTGGTTGTTGCTCAAGTTCAGCTTGATGCTCTTGCTTTGCTTGTACAGCCGCTTGTTTTGCTAAACGACGACGTTCACGAGGATCATTCGCTACACGGCGATCATTCTCAGGCTTCGGTGGCGTTAAGTCTAAAACATCAGCAGGTTGTGCTTCTGGTGCTGCTTTAGAGATAGCAACATCACGTGTTACAGGCTGCTTGCTTTGTACATCGGTCTTTTCTACCACAGTTAAGGTCGCTGAATATTCTTCAGTGAATTTAACTAACGCGCGATTGAATGTTGGAATTAATCCAAACTGTTCAATCAATACCGCACAGTCATCACCATAGACATGACGAATCAAAGTTCCCACTGTGTACTGATTTAATGTCGGTACTTGAGATGGTGCGATTTTAGGCGTTGCCGCCTTTGCTTGAGCAGCGTCACGTTGTTGACGGCGTTTTTGGCGCGGGTCATTGCTGGCACGTTGCACAGGCTGTTCTGCTTGAACCTCTGCTGCTGCAGGTGTTTTTGCTTCAGTCGTTACAGCCTGGCTTTCTACAGCCGGTGCAGTAGCTGGTTGAGCGTCTACGCGAGGGGCTTTAGCAACAGTTTCAGCTTTTTCATTGCGATCATGACGCTTCGGCTTGTTGCTTGCTGGCGCAGCAACTTGTTGCGGGTTTAATGCCACAATTTCACTTTGAGCTTGATCAAGGTTAACCACTAAAGCTGTTTCAAGTGCTGCATGCTTCGGGGTGTCAATGAGTTCAACCTTAGGTTGTTTCTCTTGAGGTTGATTATGCTCTACAGGCGCATTGTTGTTTGGCGCTTGTTGTTGCTCATCATTAAACACGCTGCTATCGCGATGACGATTTGGGCGGTTTGGACGTTGCTGATGGTTACGATCACGACGTGGAACAGCTTGTTCAGCATGATTCGTTTCAGCATTTTGATCATGCTGTTGACGTGGCTGCTTTTGCTGACGACGTTGATCACGTTGTTCCTGACGCTGTTCTTGGCGTTGCTCTTGACGAGGCACCTGAACCACTTCTTCAATCACTTGATGTTGATCAGTGTTTTGTTCACGTGACTCTTTGTGCTTGTTGCGATTTTTATTTTTATTGTTGTTGTTACGCGGAGCTCGTTCTTCTTTCTCGCCCTGTTTTTCATATTCACGCGGTTCTTGTTTTTGAACAGGTGCATGTGAAAGATAAGCATTGGTTTCAGCAACAACTTGAGCTTCAATTGTAGCTGGTGCACTATTGCTATTTACTTGGCCAAATTGACCACGGCTTACAGCACCACCGTTAATCATTTGTTCAATGGCTGCAGCTGCATTGTTTGCAGTACGTGATTGGTCAACAGTTGCTGCTTGTTTTTGTACAAACAGGTTTTCTAACCAAGCACATGGGCTTGAAGCTTGTTGAGCAACTTGTGCTTGAACCGCTTGCTGAGCTTTTTGAGCTTGAGCAGGTTGTTGCTTTCTGTTTTGCTTATTGTTTTGTGCTTGAGCTGGCGCAGCATTGTGTGGCGTTTGCTCTTCTTCCAAATGCCATTCAGATGACTCATAGCCCAATTCTTTTTCGCTTGAACGGGTAGCTTCAGTACGTTCATAGCTAGTTGGCGCAAAACCTTCTGGGTTATATGAGATTTCGTAATGTGGCGTTTCTAAATGTGGATGTGGCAGTACAGTAACACGCACATTTGACGTTTGTTCTAAGTAAACCAGACTGTGACGCTTTTCATTCAATAAGAATGCTGCAATTTCAACAGGCACTTCAACTTGAACTTCACCTTGACGTTCACGTAATGCAATCTCTTCAACTTTACGCATAATTGAAAGAGAAAGAGAACGTAGATCACGTACCATACCTGTGCCATGACAGCGAGGGCATACATAACCTGTAGCTTCTTCAAGAGATGGTCGTAAGCGTTGACGGCTCATTTCCATTAAACCAAAACGTGACAATTGACCGAACTGGATACGGGCACGGTCACTTTGCGTCGCTTCACGAAGTTTAGCTTCAACCATACGTTGGTTGCGTTCTTTGGTCATATCAATAAAGTCGATCACCACCAAACCACCAATATCACGTAAACGTAATTGGCGAGCAATTTCTTCAGCTGCTTCTAAGTTGGTGCTGAGTGCAGTTTCTTCTACATCATGTCCGCGTGTTGATTTCGCCGAGTTGATGTCGATTGAAACCAGTGCTTCAGTTTGGTCGATTACAATTGAACCGCCTGAAGGAAGTTTAACTTCACGTTCATAAGCTGTTTGAATTTGACTTTCAATACCAAAATGCGCGAATAACGGTTCATTTAACGTATAGGTTTTTAACTTATCCAATTGATTTGGCATTACCGCTTTAACAAAGTTATAGGCTTCGTTATAGGCTTGCTCTGAGTCAATTAAAATTTCTGCAACATCATCACGTAAATAGTCACGGATAGCACGCGTCACCACACCAGCTTCTTGATGAACAAGCATTGGTGATGGACCAGAGTTTGCTGTACCTTGGATTTGTGCCCACAGGTCTAACAAATGTTGAAGATCAAGTTGCAGTTCTTCTTGTGAACGGCCAATCCCTGCTGTACGAACGATTACGCTCATACCACGTGGGGTATTTAATGACGCCAACATTTCTTTAAGTTCTTCACGAACTGAACCCGAAATTTGACGACTAATACCACCACCTTTCGGGTTGTTCGGCATCAAGACTAAATAGCGACCAGCAAGGGAAATATAGGTTGAAAGTGCTGCGCCTTTGTTGCCACGCTCTTCTTTTTCAACTTGAACCAAAAGTTCAGTGCCTTCAGTGATGAGTTCACGAATATTTGATGTTTGGCGAGGGTCTGCCTTGTAGTAGGTATTGGCAATTTCGCGCATCGACAAGAAACCTTGACGACCCGCACCATACTCTACAAATACAGCTTCTAAAGAAGGCTCTACGCGAGTGACATGGCCTTTATAGATATTGGCTTTCTTTTGTTCACGTGTACGGTTTTCTAAATCGAAATCGTAAAGACGGTGACCAGTGATGAGTGCAACGCGAACTTCTTCGGCATGTGTTGCATTAATCAACATACGTTTCATGGGTGTAACACCTAATAGTGATTCACACCAACAACTCGCTATCTTTTTTAAGTGAAGCGAACATCTAAAATATTGGATCAATGCTCAAATCACGGATACATCCAATATGATCTGAGTAATTTACCCACTTGTTTTGAGCAAGGTTGGGTTTGATGCCTGTATTGATGCTGCAATACTTCTTTAATCTTTGCACGATTAAAGTTTTGAGCTCTTCACTGGCACTTAAGTGGTGCATTGGATGACTGATTTGATTCGTCTTTCACTATCACATTGCTCGAAGAGCATCTCAACTTTTGTGAGAGCGTCTTGATACGGAATTATCATCGTACCTTTACAAATTGTGCAGTTCCAATGCCTCAAACACTTATGTCCTGAATAACACTCTACAGCGACTTGCCTGATGTGTATCAGTTTATGTTTAAAAACCAACGTCTGGGTTGGCGACATATATTTTTAAACAAACTGATTTCTGTACTTTAAGTACAATTAAACGCAACAGTTTGTCTTTTTGCCGATATAATAAAGCCTTCGGCGTCGGCATATTCTTTTGGGACCTTTCCGCATCTGTCGTGAATTTTATCGTTTGTGTCACGCTTTCATTTTTAAAAAAGGGTGGCACTAAATTTCACTTACGGTGGTATCCGTGCGCTGACTATAGCAAACCTTGAATCATCTGCCTATGGGCTATATGCTTATTTTGTATGAAAAGCATAGTCTAAATGATCAGTTTTTAATCAATTTTTAGTTTTTTATTGGATCACCTAACTGTATGAATTCTACGCAACAATGGCAAAATGTAACTTGGTTTGAAGTAGACGAGCATCAAGAAGGCCAGCGCATCGATAATTTCTTATTTACTCGCCTGAAAGGTGTGCCGAAAAGCCGTATTTATCGTTTAATTCGTGAAGGTCAAGTGCGCGTCAATAAAAAGCGTATAAAAGCAGAAACTAAGCTGGCGATTGGCGATCAAATCCGTGTTGCACCTATTCGCTTTGAGCAAAAAGACGAAACTGATGCACCTGTATCCGATAAGGTTGCACAAAGCTTACTCAGCCGTGTGGTGTATGAGGATGAAGGTTTATTGGTGGTCAACAAGCCGTCTGGAATTGCCGTACATGGTGGAAGCGGTGTGGCTTACGGCTTAATTGAAGGTTTACGCGCGGCAACAGGTAAAAAATATTTGGAATTGATTCATCGTATTGACCGTGATACTTCGGGTCTGGTGATGGTGAGTAAAAAACGCAGCACATTGAAGGCGCTACAAGACATGTTGCGTGAGCATAAAATTAAAAAAACCTATGCTGCGATTGTTAAAGGTCAAGTGAGTTTAGACCAACAGTTGATTAATCAACCTTTATTGCGCTATGAACTGTCCAATGGTGAACGTCGCGTACGTGTCTCAGAAGAAGGTAAAGAATCTAAGACACAATGGAAAGTCGCTGAGCGCTTTATGCATGCGACACTGGTCTATGCTTCCCCACTGTCGGGTCGTACCCATCAAATTCGTGTACATGGTTTAAGTATTGGTCATCCTTTAGTGGGCGACGATAAGTATGGTCATGAAACAGAGTATCGTGGACCAAAAGCTCGTCGATTGAGTCTACATGCAATGCGCCTTGAAATTCCTGGTTATCCTGTGATCGAAGCGCCTTTACCTGAAGATATGCAAAGCTTGGTTGCACAGCTAAGAGCACAAAAGAAAGATTGATTCGATCTTGCTGCTCACTTTATCTTTTACACTCAGGGAACTTGTTTTATGAAAAGTTCCCTTTGTGTTTAAAAATGCGTTAGCTTGTCAGGTAAAGAGCATAAGATCTAAACATTAGTCATGCGTAAACTGAGCAAATATTGGAAATAATTCATGCAAAAACCTGTAGAACTTATCATTTTTGATTGGGATGGCACTTTATTTGATTCAGTTGGGCAAATTGTGGCGAGTTTATTGGTTGCTGCAGAAGCGTTTGACCAACCGTTAACAGCTGATGCTGCGAAAAGCATTATTGGTTTGGGTTTGCCTGAAGTTGCTCAAGTGTTATTTCCACAGGTCCCTGAGTTACACACTGAAATTTTGAAATGCTATGGCGATCATTATGTTGAGCATTCCAAAGATGATTTGTGGTTCGCTGGTGTTTCTGAAATGTTGCATGATTTAAAAAATCAAAATATCAAATTGGCAGTCGCAACAGGGAAAAGCCGTCGTGGTTTAGATCGTGTTTTGGCTCAGACCCAGAGTCAGGATTTATTTGAGATCACCCGTGCAGCGAGCGAAACTAAATCCAAACCAGATCCATTGATGTTGGCTGAAATTTTAGATTACACTGGAATTTCGGCGGAGCAAGCCATTATGGTGGGTGATACATCTTATGACTTAGAAATGGCACAGAACATTGCCATGCCACGTGTTGGGGTGAGTTATGGGGTACATGCGATTGATGTATTACAGCGTTTTAATCCGCTGACGATCGCGGATAACGTCGATCATTTACATCAGTTTTTAACTCAACAGCTCAAAGCTACTGAAGTTGCTTAGATTTTGTTGTTACGCTGTTTGCAGATTGCCCTCAGCGTAAACTTAGATAAAACCAAAGAGATATAATAAGAAAATTGACCATGAGCCGTTCTATTCGATTACTCACTTTATTACAACTTTTACGTGAACAGCGTTATCCCATTACCGCGCAATGCTTAGCAGAACATTTGGAGATTAGTGTCCGAAGTGTTTATCGGGATATTGAAAGTTTACGTGACCAAGGTGTCAATATTGAGGGCAGTGCGGGCTTAGGATTTCAGCTGAAAGAAAACTTTTTACTGCCTCCGATGAGTTTGGATGAAACAGAAGTCGAAGCGGTTTTCTTGGCATTGCATTGGTTAAGGTCAGTGCCAGATCCAGCATTGAAAAATGCTGCACATTCAGTTTTGTCCAAACTCAATGCGGTATTGCCCAAGAATAAACAAGAGCTGATTGATGAAACCATGCTTCGGTCTGTTAACCATTGGCTTGTGGTTGATGAAAAAATTGTAGAACAAGTGCGTCTGGCAATTCGTTATCAGGTCAAGATTGAAGTGCATTATTTAGATGAAAAACAAAACATTTCAAGTCGTATGCTTTGGCCTTTTGTCTTAGGGTATTTCAATGACAAAATGTTGTTGGCTGCATGGTGTGAATTACGTGAGGATTTTCGAAATTTTCGTTTAGATCGGATTCAAAAATTAACTGTGACCGAAATTATTTACCCAGAGTTTAAGCGCCATCTTTTTCAGGCATGGTGGCAAAAAGAGCTGCAAAAAAATCCATGCTGAAAAGCTCCTGACAAAAACTGACACAGCCGCCCTTTATATTCAATACACCACTATAAAGGAATGGAAAAATGGGCTTAAAACTATATAGCAACGCGCAGTCTAGAGGTCTGGTTATTGAATGGCTACTGATTGAACTGGGTGCTGAATTTGAAAAAATTGAGTTGGCTTATCACACTGAAATGAAGTCGGAATCTTATCTAAAGATTAACCCATTTGGCAAAGTGCCCACCTTAGTCGATGGCGATGTGGTGATTTACGAAATGCCTGCAATTTGCGCCTATTTGGCAGATAAGTTTTTTGATCAAGGACTTGCACCAGCATTGGATGATCCAAAACGTGGCTTGTATTTCCGTTGGTTATTCTTTGCTGCTGGACCGTGGGATGCAGCCACAACGGATCGCGCATTAAAAGTTGAGATTACCGACGAGCAAAAAATGCATATTGGCTATGGAAACTTTCAGGACACCTATACAGCTTTAATTCAGGGCTTGGAGCAGGCTCAACCTTATCTATGTGGTGAGCAATTTACGGTGGCCGATGTTTTTGTTGGTTCCATGCTATTTTGGCAATTGAAAATGGCAGAGATTGAAAGCCATCCTGCAATTGAAAAATATCTTAATTCAATCAAAAGCCGAAAAAACTTAAGAAATAATCAAGCACTTTTTAGCGACTAAATCATCAAGACGATGCAAACTTAGCATGATCTCGTGCTGGGTTTGCATTGAGGTTTTTTAGTCATATTCAAGCGCAGAAAAATGATAAAAAACTTTGGAGATTGGTTTTTGGTGTTAATCCCTCTATTTTTTTCTTCAGTTAAATAAAACCTGCGGCAACATTAATACAGATCGCCAAAATCGTCGTGTTAAATCCATACGCCAAAAGGATATGGAGAATATTTAAAACGCGCATCGAACGAGATGTAATCGATACATCTGCTGTTTGTGCAGAAGTACCAATAACATAACTAAAATATAAAAACTCAGGGTAAGTTGGTTTAGGTGTTTTTGGAAAGTCCAATCCACCATCCTGATGATTCTCCACTGCCAAGTAAAAGTCATGTGCATAGTGAATAGCAAAAATGGTATGCATAAATAACCATGCAAAAATGATGGTAAAAATTGCTAAGGCGATATGTCCGGCTTTAACTCCAGTCACATCGGGCAAATGTGCCAATTCAATAATAATGGCAATAAAACACATGATGAGTGAGAGCACAACCAACAGCAAAATGATCCATTTGCTGGCATCCTGCTGCTGAGCACGCTTTAAAATATGCGCTTGATTGGTTGCCCAAAGCATTTTCATGGTCAGGATTAAATAGACCAGGGTGGCAATATTCCAGCTGAATAACAAATTGGTTGACCACTGCCAATCTGTGCTCAAAGACATCCCCATATACACAACTGCTGTGAGGAGAAAACTAATAAAGAAATATGGGCGAGACTGAATGCCTGATCGAAGTTGGTGAAATGCACGTCCTAACATGATGAACACCGCCTGAGTTAAAGATTGATGGATATTTGAGCAAAGAAAATGAGCATTAAGTTCTATTGGTTTAAGTCGTCATATTAAAAAATAAGCCTACGCTCTATGTCTTGTCGCAGCGGTCTTATTTTTGCTCTAAACGATTGATATCCAGATAAAATACTTTGGTTAATAGTTCAATGAATTTTTGTATTGCAACAGAGCCAGCACTTTTTCGATAACTTACATACAAGTCTAGATAGGGAAGCTCAATATCTAAAGGTCGAATGACGGTGTTACTGTTGATTAATGGCGCAATATAGTTTGGCAAAATTGTACAGCCTAAGCCCGCCCCAACTGAATTAATATTCAATGAAATATTGTCAGCTTTTTGGACGATATTCAATTCAATATGATTGTGTTTGGCAAACTCTAAAATGGTATTGTGCAAGGTCGTGGATTGTTCTTCAGCAGGAATAATAAAATCGATCCCATTGAGCGCTTTAACAGGGATACGTTCATACTTGGCTAAAGGGTGATCTTTGGGTAAAACAAAAATTAACGGCTCACGGAGCACAAATTTACTTTCGATTTCATCATTATGAAAATTGTGCCTGCTAAAGCTGATATCCAGCTCACCCTTTTTCAATGCGCGCATTTGTTCAAGGTTATTTAAGCTTAATAACTCAATTTTTAGCTCAGGATTTTGTACTCTTAAATTTGGTAAGACATAAGGGAAAATCTTTATTTCAGCCACGGGTACAAACCCAATCCTTAACAATAGCTGTCTGGCTTTGGAGACCTGTCTTGCCATAGCAACAGCCTTATCGGCTTGTGCTAAAGTTAAGCGTGCTTGCTCCAGAAAAACAGCACCTTCTTCAGTAAGTTCAACTTTACGTTTGGTCCGGTTTAACAGCCGAACACCGACATCTTCTTCAAGATCTTTGATCTGCTGGCTGAGTGAGGGTTGTGCTGTATAAAGTCTCAATGCTGCTTTGCTAAAGTTGAGTTCTTCAGCCACAGTAATGAAGTATCTCAGATGTCGTAATTCCATATAACGCGTCCAAAGAATAATCCAAAAAATGTCTTACTAAGATTTTCAAAGAGTATAATCTATAAACAACTGTCAGGTGAAGACGATTATAGTATTTAGAAAATAAATGAACTTTTCAAAATCATTGTTATTTTAATATAGAAAATAACATAGCGAATAATTGATAAAATATCTTAATTAAAACAAAAAATATTTCGCTAAGCCCTAGCTTAGAAGCCATCATCTGTACAAAGTTGCATCAATTTATCTATAGCCCTTACTTGTCATAAGCTTACTTTCAGGAATAGAAAAATTGATATCAATGTTTTAATTGATGTATCTCGTTATCAATTTATAGCGATCCAAATTTATATGAAGGAACACTTGAAAAGTATTTAATTGCACTGGTTTAAGTTGTTGCAATCTGTCTGATAGACATGATCATACTGAGGATTACTAAAACCGACTTGGAGATAGGTGGCAAGGTCGGTTTCGTCGTCATGGATAGTCAGCTTGATCAGGGTGTTTATGATGATGTTTTTGATATCACTTTATCTCAAAACACTTAGACGGAAGGCTTCTTTAGTTTCAAATGCAAAATTGGAAATGGGTTACCTTCAGCATCAAGTTCCGAACGCGCAATTTGTTGGAAGTTATGTTTCTTATAAAATTCCAAAGCACGAATATTTTGTTCGTTGACATCTACTTCATGTGCACCTAACTCAAAAGCTTTTTGAATGAGCAAGGAACCGATGCCTTGATCAAAAAAATTAGGGTCAATAAATAACATTTCAATCTTTTGATAAGCCAGTCCCATAAACCCAGCGATTTGACCTTCACGTTCCACATGAAACAACCGCACATGATCAAAATAATGATGCTGAATGATGAGCGTTTTAATTTGTAAGATATGCTGTTCGTTTAAAAAGTCATGAGTCGCACGTACAGAAGCTTCCCAAATTTTTAATAATTGTGGATGAGACTGCGACGGAGTATTTAGAATATTGGTTAAATTGGGTTCCATAAAAGATTCACTCAATTGTGAAAAGCAACAAAAAATAAAGAAAAATCACAGATAGTTTCGCTAATATGAAGCAGGACAGATATAAAAATCAAATTGATGTATTTGATGATAAAAAACAGGACAATAAATGTCAGATTCCAACAAAATTGTTGTATATGCAGCACTTTTGGGCAATTTAGCCATTGCTCTGGTTAAGTTTGTTGCCGCTTATATTACAAATAGTTCGGCGATGCTTAGTGAGGCAGTCCATTCTGTCGTAGACACTTTAAATGAAATCTTATTGCTGTATGGTTTAAAAAAATCACAACAGCCTGCAAATTATCATCACCCCTTTGGTTATGGGCGAGAGTTATATTTCTGGGCCTTTATTGTCGCATTGTTGGTTTTTGCTTTAGGTGCTGTGGTTTCAATTTATCAGGGTATTCAACATATTCGTCATCCAGAAGTTATACAATCCCCATTGGTCAATTATGTGGTACTCGGGTTTGCGCTGCTTTGTGAAGGCATTTCATGGTTTATTGCGTTGAAAACATTTAAAAAGACTAAAGGTCAAATGGGATATTTTGAAGCTTTTCGTCGTAGTAAAGATCCGACAACCTTTACAGTTTTATTTGAAGACTCTGCAGCTTTAATTGGCTTAATCATTGCATTGCTGGGAATATTTTGTGCTCAGCAGTTTAATTTACCCGTTTTAGATGGTGTGGCTTCGGTACTGATTGGTGTTGTCTTAGCCATCTCAGCCCTGCTTTTGGCAAGGGAAACCAAAGGGTTGTTGATGGGTGAAACAGCAGATCCAAAACTGCGTCATAATGTATTGAAAATTGCTCAGGAAGATCCTGCCGTGTATTCAGCAAATGGCGTACTGACTGAACAAATGGGTGCACACCAAGTGATTGCTTCTTTAAGCTTAGAGTTTAAAGATAGTTTAACTTCAGATGATATCGAAGCCTGTGTGAACAGAATTGAAGCAAAGATCAAAAGTATTCATCCCGAAATCGTGGCATTATTCGTGAAGCCACAAACACAGCAAGTATGGCTTGAAAGAATGAAAGGGCGTTTAGAGTAATCATGTCGAAACAAGAGCCAATGGTCCGTCTTGAAGATACAACGGTACAAGACAACACAATGCAAAATAAGACTGTTCCATCTCAGCAAGTTCAACAATTGCATTATCGAATTGATACTGAAAATTGTCTGTCACATACATGGTATAAACCTGTATTTAGTGTGATTGGTTCAAATCAACACAATGGTGAACGATTCTTTAATGAAGTACGTAAACCACAAGGGCGTAGCCGTTGGGATTTGATGAAATGGCTGGGTACCCGAAAATCATATACTTGGAATGTGGATACTCAAAAAGAATCATCAGAATTCTATGCGGCAAAACGTGTATTACCTCAGAATCGACCAGATGCTGATGAGCATGATTGGCAAATCTGGTTTGTGAGCCATGCGACTGTACTGGTTCAAATTGGTCCCTATAACTTTTTAACCGATCCTGTTTGGGCCGACTATGTCAGTCCAAAACATGGGCGTGGACCAAAACGTGTGATTCCTGCTGGAATTGCTTTAGAGCAATTGCCAGAGATTCATGCAGTTTTACTCAGTCATAATCACTATGACCATATGGATTTAGCCTCTTTAAGATGGCTACACAACAAATTTGCCATGCCAATCTATACAGGTTTGGGCAATGCCTGTTACTTGCCTAAAGAGTTCCATGTGATTGAGATGGACTGGTGGCAATCTGCATTGTTTAAAAACTTAAAAATTATTTATACCCCAGCACAGCATGGTTCGGGTCGTGGTTTACGTGATCAGAATATTGCATTGTGGGGCGGTTTTTCTGTGGTATCGCAACATGGTCATTTCTTCTTTGCTGGCGATACGGGGTATTCACCGCATTTTAAAGAAATTCAAAAACGTTTAGGTTCACCGCGAATTGCGTTATTGCCAATCGGTGCGTATGAGCCAAGAGCGCTAATGAAATATATGCACATGAATCCACAAGATGCTTTTCAGGCGCATTTAGATTTACAAGCCAAGCGTTCTTTGGCAATTCATTACCGTACTTTCCAATTGACGGATGAAGCGCGGGAACAGCCTGAGCAGGATTTACAAAAGGCTATGAAGAATTCATCAAAAATGATTAATCCATTCTACTGTATTCGTGAAGGTCGTAAATTGGTGGTGTAGTGGGCCCTTATTGAGCCATAAAAATTGAGCGCACTAAAAATGATAAAAATCTTATCCAGTACTTTGTTGTTTTGCTTGGTGATGACTTCAGTCGCTGCAAAATCTATAGACCTAACTCAAGCGGCTAAGGCGGATTGTGTTTCAGATGCGCCTTGTGCTGATGGAGATCAGATGACTATGGCAACAGCCGAAGATAGTCCAGCAGCAGATGATACAGAGAGTATTAAACCTCTCAATGAAAAATATGATTTGGAAACGGGTGATGAATGGAAATTAATTCATCAAAATTCAAATAATCAATTTTTTGAAAGTATCACCACAATATCTGATGGTAATCAACTTATTCAAGCTTGGGTTAAAAGTGTGAACCCAAAAAGACAATACACGATTAATTATTATCAAGTATTGTGTAAGGATCGGACATTTACACGACTTGAGCAGTTTAAAAGTCAGGACGATAAAAACTATAAACTGGTTAAAAAGATCGAGCATTATCGTCAAACACAACCTTTTAGTCAGGCCGGTGAAATACTTCCAGTTTTGGAAAAGCTGTGTCAGGATTAGGGGGTATTTACCCAAACTAAAAATAGTGTTGATTCCTGATTGAAAAATCAAGGGAGATGAATAATGAAAATAATCCAAACTTTATTGATGTTACTGGCATTATCCAGTACAGCTTTTGCTGAGACTCAAAATATACAAATTAATCAAAATAATTTTGAGTTGAAAACAGTGATGAATGAAGAAGAAGCTGATTCTTTACGTAAAGATATTGAATTATATCGAAATAATCAAAAGCTGCTCACGCATACAATTTATTCAACCACGGGTGACTGCAGTATTCTTCAGATTGAATTGGGTGATTATGAGGTCAAAGATAACAAGATTATTTTTTATAGTTATTGGGCTTCGGGTGATCGGCAGGGGCTCTGGACTTATCCTTATGGTGTGCGCAAACAAACCTATACTATAGATGCAAAGGGTAAGGTGAAATTAGTCAGTGCCGTACTGTATGTTGAAGATATTTTGGGTGATCCGCTTAGCACAAACCCGGATGAAGAATACCTTCAATTTTTGCATACCGCTCCTAAAACCAAGCAACAACAACGTGCACTGAATGAATATATTCAAACCATGCAAAGTGATTATAAAGGTCGATTTGTGCATGGACAGGAACGGGCGCGCTTAATTCAAGAAGTAAAAAGCAAACTTGCCAAGCAAATTGCCACTGAAACCAAAGGATGGAAAGAGCAGTTTGGTACAAATGTCCGAATGTAAGTTTATTCGGCTTTTTGAGCATTGAGAAGTTGAATTGCGACAATAGACAGTGCCGCCATTGCAGTATTCATGATGAAAGGATTAAAACCCTGCGCAAAATAGTGTGGATAAACGATCGCTACAACCAGTAAAAACAACAGCATCGCGATGATATTGAAATAATGCAGAAGCTTTGATTGTCTAAAAATAAGAAATAATCCACCAAATATTATTTCTCCAAATCCTGAGAGTTCAATAAGTCTAGGAATGGGCAACAATTGAATCCCTGTAAATTGCCAAAATTGTTGCTCTTCGATGACTTTATATATGATTTTAGGGATAAGCCCCTGATAGAACCATAAGACAGCCAGTGAAATATGAATGGTCAATAGGGCATTCTGAAGTGCTTTAGAATTTTGCATCAATGCTATGTTCCAAGAAATGTTTTTTATTTTCAGATGAAGGCAGTAAACACTGCTCAGTAGTACCAAATAAACGATAGCGATTTAAAGCGACTCGGCGGTATAGAAAATCTCGGATAAATTTGGGTATCCCATAACCCATTTTTAAACATGAAAAGGGTCGTCCTAAGCTTTCAATCACTTTTAAAAAAGCAGTGGATTCACTATAGGCTTGCCCATTTTTGATCACCAACATGCTATCAAATTGCTCAGTGGGCATTTGGTAATATCTTAAGATGTCTTGCCCTAAAGGTGATTGCACCGAAGTTAATTTAAATTGTGCCTGTGTATCATATTTGATTAAAAACTTTGCCCAGCCATTACATAACACACAGATTTCATCAAATAAAATGATGTCATGTTGTTGAATTATCGCTTCAATTTTCTGTTGCATGGCTTTACTCGCGATTGGGAGTTTCTTCAATATAGTGCATTTACACAAAATAAAAAACCGCCCGAAGGCGGTTTCTATTGAATGACTTTATATTGAGCTAGGCTTATTGAAAACCAGGATGACCTTTGCCAGGATCGCTATCGCGTGCAGCTTGTGCATCTGCAACAGTTAAGCCCAAGGCTTTTGCCACGCCTTCACCATAGGCTGGGTCACATGCATAACAGTTACGGATATGACGATACTTAATAAAATCAAGTGCATCACCCATCGCACCCGCCGTATTATCAAACAGTGCTTGTTTTTGCGTATCATTCATTAAATTGAATAAAGCGCGTGGTTGGCTGAAATAATCCGAATCATCTTGGCGGAAATCCCAATAATCTGCATCACCACTGATTTTTAATGGTGGTTCTTTAAACTGAGCTTGTTCCTGCCATTGGCTAAAACTATTCGGTTCATAGTGTGGTAAACCGCCATAGTTTGCATCGACACGGCCTTGACCATCACGGTGATTAGAATGAACAGGGCAACGTGCAGCATTGACAGGAATTTGTTGATAATTCACACCCAAACGGTAGCGTTGAGCATCGGCATAGTTAAATAATCGCGCTTGCAACATACGGTCAGGTGAAACACTGATACCTGGAACTAAGTTACTTGGTGCGAAAGCCGATTGCTCTACATCAAGGAAGAAGTTTTCAGGATTTTTATTCAGCTCAAACTCACCCACATCAATCAGTGGATAATCTGCATGAGGCCAAACTTTGGTAAGGTCAAATGGATGATAAGGGACTTTTTCTGCATCTGTTTCAGGCATGACTTGAATTTGGAGCTTCCATTTTGGGAAGTTACCATTTTCAATCGAATCAAATAAATCACGTTGATTACTTTCACGGTCTTTAGCAACAACTGCTTCCGCTTCAGCATCGGTTAAATTTTCAATGCCTTGTTGAGTACGGAAATGAAATTTGACCCAAAAACGTTCATTGTTTGCATTGATAAAGCTGTACGTATGACTACCAAAACCATGCATATGGCGGAAGCTTTTTGGAATACCACGATCAGACATCACAATCGTCACCTGATGCAAAGCTTCAGGTAATAACGTCCAAAAATCCCAGTTGTTGGTTGCACTACGTAGATTGGTTTTAGGGTCGCGTTTTACGGCTTTATTTAAATCTGGGAATTTACGTGGATCACGCATGAAAAAGACGGGAGTGTTGTTTCCAACGAGATCCCAGTTACCTTCTTCGGTATAGAACTTGAGTGCAAAACCACGAATATCACGTTCTGCATCTGCTGCACCACGTTCACCAGCTACAGTAGTGAAGCGTGCAAACATTTCTGTTTGTTTGCCAATTTGTGAGAATATTTTAGCGCGTGTGTACTGAGTAATATCGTGAGTTACGGTAAATGTACCAAAAGCACCTGAACCTTTTGCATGCATTCTGCGCTCAGGAATAACCTCGCGTACAAAGTTGGCCAGTTTCTCGTTTAACCATAAATCTTGTGCCAGTAGAGGACCACGTGCGCCTGCCGTTAAACTATTTTGGTTGTCTACAACAGGTGCACCAAAAGCCGTTGTCAGGTGGGTTACAGGACATTTTTTTGAGTCTTGGCTCATTCTATTTCTCCATTTTTAATTAATCATGTATTCATTTTTGAATAGATGGAATAGATAAAGAATATTCGCTATTACATGACATTAACCGTAATTGAAAAACCAATATAGTGAACAATTGTTAAATCTAATTGATCTAAAAATAAATGATTTGTCATTTATTTTTTGAAACAACTTACTGGTCTTTATCTGCTTTAAAATACTGTTGTTTAAGGAAGAGCAAGCAATGTTTTAAAGCGATAACTTTACTTTAGAGTGATTTTTTATATTTGTGAAATTGATAAAAATATTATTATTGATTTGTTTTGACGATTAATGGGGGAGCAGAACTTTGTGTGGTGTGAAGTAAGTGATTTTATATAAAACCGCCTGAGCGTGATTTTTTCAGCATTTAAAGCCTATATAGAAAGTTTTGAGTAGATAGATCTAGTTTTTTATTAAATTTCTTATAAACTATATTGTGTTTATTTTCTACATTGTATGTTAAATTTTACTTAATTGTTTTTACTAATATAAACATATGTACCTAAAAATTAAATGCCTCTCTCTCTAAGTTGCAAGGGTTAAAGGCTTTTTACTAAAACAAGAATTTATTTGCCAAACTTTCTCAATTTTATCATTCGAAATATGGCTCAACTATTTTCTTTTTTATAAAACAAACAACAAGATAATTATGGAGTATAACCATGAATCATAAGATTTTTTTATCGCAACTTTCTCAAGACGAGATATTGAAATTGTCTACTGACGAAATTCAAAAGCGTATATTGGCTGAACAAGAATTTATAAATAAACAACCTCATAAGAATTTTTTAGCAGCAACACATGGCTCCAAAACTAAAAATGGTGGGTTAGTTAAAGCAAGCATTAATCAACGGGTGAAAGCAGAAGGTCACCTTATTGCCGCAGTGGGGGATGAGGTCATTTATCAAGATGGTTCAAGCTCTAAAATCATTTCAGGTGCTGGTGAGGAAGGGAAAATCGAAGGTTTTGAGGTAGCACCTGTTGGAAGCCGTTTGGAAAATGGTGATGAAATTATCGAAAGTCTACAATCAAGTTTTGTATTCCGTTTATATGCGGATAGAGCAATTCCTGAAGGATTTTTAAATCATGATTAATTTTTAAAGGGGAAAATCATGGCTAAAGGTTTTGCGATAGATCACTCTATGACTGATCATGGTGGAATTATCAGGGCAACTCAAATGAGCGCTTCTCAAATGGGGAGCTTGTTTTTAGTTGCAGGTGATGGGCATTTTTGTCCTAAATGTAAGTGTTGGTCGAAAATTATTAAAAGTCACGATCATATTATTTTTGATGGTAAAGCCGTCGCTTATGTTGGTGATCAACTCACTTGTGGGGCAAAAATTTTACCAAAGCAGGATCATGTTGTTGGAGATAGTGGCAGTCCATATTATTCAGCCAATAGAAATAATGTGATGAAAAATAGCTTTATTGACACTCTAGCTTATGGTCATAGATTTCAACTAACGGATGAAGCTACAAATGAACCATTAGCAAATATATGTTATGAGATTATAAAAAATAATGAATTCTTTCATGGGACTACAGATAAGGAAGGTTATACCGAAATAATCAGTAGTGATCAGGCTGATGAAATACAAATTAATATAATTTATGAGGAGCATACACATGAGTTCTAATTCTTCTGGTGGGAATGGAGTAGAAATATGGCTCAGTGCAATATTAAAGTTGGGTAAAATGTTAAGCTCTGAAAATCCACCCACAACGGAGCTTAAAGTTGAAACAAAAAGAAAGCTCACCGCGGGTGAAATCAAAATGAGCAGATTAATTTTTCAAGATTCAATCGATTATTCGAAAATATGGATTCATGTAGCTGGATATCTTCATAGGAAAACGGGTAATGCCATGACTCCAGCGGGAGAAATATATCTACCAAAAGAAGATTATCTAAACAACAAAGATTTTAGTGTTTCTCCACCACATTTAAAGCATTGGTTTATGCACGAGATGACTCATGTTTGGCAATATCAATTAGGGGCTTCAGTTGGTTGGTTGGGACTCAAACAGTTGTGTAAAGGTGGTTATACTAAATCAGTAAATTCTGCTGATTCAGGTGCTAGTGAACTATTGGCATACGATACCGATATATTAAATAGGGATCAGAATAAAAAATTTAGCGATCTAAATTTTGAACAACAAGGTAGAGTCGTAGAGTTTTATTTTGATGGAATGTATCTGAAAGAAGAAAGACCTGAAAGAGCTCACCATCAAAAAAGCTTGAAAATGCTTCTTGAGGTACAAGCAATAATAATGGACTTAATTATAGACCCTACTGATAAAATGTTACTACCAAAGGCTTAGTTTATGAAAAAAATATATCTCATAGTTTTTGTATTGACTATCTGTAACATAGCTAAAGCTTCACCACAAAAGCCATTGAACGTTGTGATTAAGGATAGTAATGTTTGTATATTTACTAATGATAAAACAAGTCAGCCTTATAATGGCCGAATATATGTATATATCGGAGAGGTAAGCCAAGATAAGGGATACATAGAAGGTTATGATAAATTATATAAAAATATTAAAACTCCAATAAATAAGTCGGATTGTATTAGTATTGATGCTTCTCATTTTAAAAGTAATGTGCCATACGATGTTTCATTGGATATGATACCTTCATATTCTACTCGAGTCTGTCTCGATAAAGTTGTAAAACCTTTTGTAATAAAAAAAGTAGTGAATGGTTTTGAATGTGAAAATAAATTATTAAATAAAGAGAAAGATAGATTTTTTCAACGATTATTTAATCTGATGTAATATTTTTAAGAATATAGAATTGAAAAGACTTAAAGATAGGAAATGGAAGATTTAGAATAAGCTAATTTAATACTTGAATTGATAGAGGTAAGATGGAAATAATTATATGAATTCAATAAGAAAATATTCTGATTTAATATCATATCTAAATTTAGTTGCTATATCTTTAATTTATATTAACTCTTACCTGTCTAAAAATAATCATCATGCTTTTTCAGTAGACACTATTTTTTTAGTATTTTCTTCATTCTTATTAGTAATATCTTTAATATTGAAAAGAAAGAAATCTCTATTTACTAATATTTTATCAATAATTCTTAGCGTAATGATGAATTATTATAATATCAGTATAAGCTATCAAGATTGGATTGATAGAGAGCAACCATCTGCTTTTACTAAATAGAATGTCATATCCCAAAAACCTATACTTTAATTTTGCTTAAGTTGGAGTTATATATGCAAAATAACAGTTTATCCAACTGGTTTATTTAAATAATTTCCACTGAAAAATAGCCCAACCAATAAGGTCTATGTAAGTAACATTATCACAATAAATGCAATATAAAGCATTGATAAAAATAAAATATTACGATTCCATGCCATTCCTAAATTACGGTAATGTAGATCTGCATTTTCCTCAGTATTTGAACTAAGGTATGCGAGAGAAAGCCCGATTAAACTAATACAGGTACAGAGAAAAGCAGCACTTACAAACAAAAGTTCATATAGCGGTCTTTCACAAATATTAGTAAATTTACAAGACTGGCTTGCTATATAAATAGAATAAAAAATGCTTGCCGCAATAATGAAAATATTGAGTATTGCGCAATAGTAAGATGAACGACTAAGTTTTGATGATTCTCTATTGATTTGTTCTGGCTCTTTCATTTTTTTAAGAAGTTTAGATGAGGCTTAGCTATTTTATTACATTTTTAAAGAAAGCGTTCTTTCATAGGCAAGATATTATTTAAAAACCAACATACTAGGCGTTATGTAAAATTAAACTAGCTTGATGAGCAGTTGAACCATATCCACCTCCAAAACTTTCCAATCCTTAAACTCAGGTTCGATCAACAATGTCTGCGAGACAAAACCATAGCAAATTCGTTGTACATTTAGACTCATCTGTTTGAGTTGTTCATGATCCTGAATAAAAGGTTTCAGCATGTTTTGCCACATTTCTACCATCATGGCATAACTTTTTTGATATGTTTCAATACTGGAAATCTGTCGTTCTAACAAGAAAGATTGGGCCCATAAAAATTGTTGTGCTTGAATTTGCTCAAGTTGAAAATGAATGATTTGCTGTAAATAGCTTTGAAAATCTGATTTTGTGGATAAGTCATACACGCTTTGTGCATAACTTTTTAAGACTTCTGCATTGCTTTTTACATGTTGGTGAATGGTTAAAGCAATCAAATCTTCCTTTTTAGAAAAATACTCATAGAACGTCCCTAAACCCACACCAGCAAGATCGGTAATTTCACGAATAGTAATTCTATTGGCTGGATGTTCATGTAAAAGCCGAACAAAACTTTCCATCAGCGCTTCTTGCGTGATACGTGCCCTTGATTGGCGGGGTTTACGACGCACATTGATTGCAGGTAAAGCCATAAAAATAATCCGAACATCCTTGAAGGTATTTTCTTCTATACTGAATGCAATTGGTTAAAACAACAAGACAGGAATTCAGGATGAACACAGCAGAGAATTGGCAAACACATGAAATCAGCAATCAGTTTGACGAACTGCAAAATTATAATTTATTGACTACAGATCAAGTTTTACAAGAAATTTTGCAACGTTATGGCAGTCAGGATCAGCAACGCCTAACTGAGTTTTCAAAGATTGCGGGTTCTACTGAATATTATGAATATGCCGATTTGGCCAATCGACATACTCCTGAATTACATAGTTTT